TCGGTCCACACAAGGAGAGACCCTATGAATGTGCTCCACTTTACCAACCATTTGACAGGGTGTTTTAAGAATCTTAAAATGTTTCTCCCTTTGATTGAGCAGTTCCACATCCAAGAAATGATTCTGAGGAAAACACAAAACAAAATAGCAACAACAAAAATAAGTCTCTATCAATACACATACGAAGACTCTGCAGTGGTTCCCCATTGCCCTGATAATAAAGCACAAGCTCCTCAAAAGGGCTGGAAAGGTCTTTATAATGCAAGCCCTGAACCGTGGTAACAAGCAGTGCCAGTTGACTCTTGTGAAAATGAATTTTAACAAACCTCACTCAAAATGGAGTAGGGAAGCCCTGAGGGAGCTGTGATGCACCGACTACTCGTAGCAGCTTGTTTCACACACCCCATCAGGAAGGGGGCTATACTAAACAACAGGTTTTCAATGTAGATGAAACAGCCTTCCATTGGAAGATGCCATCTAAACTTCCACAGTGTGAGAGAAAATAAGGACAGGCTGACTCTCATTAGGGGCTAATGCAGCTGATGACTTTAAGTTGAAGCCAATACTCATTTATCACTCTGAGAATCCTAGAGCCCTTAAGAATTATATTAAATCTACTCTGCGTGTGCTCTAAAAATGGAACAACAAAGCCTGGATGACAGCACATGTTTACAACATAGTTTACTAAGTATTTTAAGCTCACTGTTGAGAACTACTGCTCAAAGAAAGATTCCTTCCAAAATATTACTCCTTGCTGACAATGCACCTAGTCACCCAAGAGCTCTGATGGAGGTATACAATGAGTGATGTTGTTTTCATGCCTGCTAACACCACATCCATTCTGCAGCCCGTGAATCGAGGAGTACTTTCGACTTTCGTGTCTTATACATTTTGTAAGGCTACAGTTGTCATAGTGACTTCTCTGATGGATCTGGGCAAAGTAAATAAAAAACCACTTAGAAAGGATTTCCCACTCTAGATGTCATTAAGAACACTCGGGATTTGTGGTCAAAATATCAACATTAACAGGAGTTTGCAAGAAGTGACTTCCAACTCTCACGAAGGACTTTAAGGGGTTCAAGACTATGGTGGAGGAAGTAACTGCAGATGTGGTGGAAACAGCAAGAGAACGAGAAATACAAGATGTGACTGAACTGCTGCAATTTCATGACAAAACTTTTTAAGAGATGAGGAGTTTTTAACAGATGGATGAGCAAAGAAAGTGGTTTCTTGAGATGAAATCTACTCCTGGTGAAGATGCTGTGAAGGCTGTTGAAATGACAACAAAGGATTTAGAATATTACATAAACTTAGTTAATAAAGGCAAGATTTGAGAGGATAGACTCCAATTTTTGAGAGGATAGACTCCAATTTTTGAAAGAAGTTCTACTGTGAGTAAAATGCTATCAAACATCATCACATGCTAAATCATTCATGAAAGGAAGTGTCTACTCATGTGGCAAACTTCATGGATGCCTTATTTTAAGAAACTACCCTAGCCACCCCAACCTTCAGCAACCACCACCCTGATGATCAGCCAGCAGCCACCAACACTGATGCAAGATCCTCCACCAGCAAAAAGAGTGCAGCTCACCGAAGGGTCAGATGATGGCTAACGTATTTTAGCAATCAACTATTTTTTAATTAAGGTATGCCCTTTTTTTTTTTTTACTATACTATATAGCTTTAACACAGCTTTCATATGTACTTGGAAACCAAAAAATTCATGTGACTCACTTTATTGTGAAATTTAGTTAACTGCAGTGGTCTGAAACTGAACTCACAATATCTCCAAGGTATGCCTGTATGTGGAAAAAAAACATTAAGATTCCACAAGAAAACTGTTACGATTAGTAAGTAAATACAGCAAAATTATAGGAACAAACAATCCAAAAGAGAAATTAAGAAAACAATTTCACTTACAATATCATCAAAAATTACAAAATACTTAGAAATAAACTTAACCAAGTAGGTGAAAGACTTGAACATTGAGAGTACAAAACATGGATTAAAGAAATTAAAAGACGACACAAATAAATGGAAAGATATCCCATGTTCATGGATTGAATTGGAAGACAATACTGTTAAAACGTTCGTACTACCCAAAGTAGTCTACAGATACAATTCCTACAAAGATGCCAATGACATTTTTTTGCAGAAATAGAAAAAAATGATCCTAAAATTTATATGGAATCTTAAAGGATCCTAAATAGCACCCCTCTCTCTCCCCCCAAAAAAACTCAAGAGAAATGAAAAAAGCTACAGAACTCACACATCCTATTTCAAAACATGTTATAAAGCTACAGTAATTAAAACAGTATGGTACTGGCATACAGACATACAGACTGATGGAATAAAAAGCCCAGAAATGCACCCAGGTATATATAGCCAAAGATCTTCAACAAGAGTGCAAAGACTACACAATATGGAAAGGATAGCCTCTTCAACAAACCGTGTTGTGAAAACTTGATATCCAGACTAAAGAAATGAAGATGGACACATACCACAGATAAACTCAAAATGGTTTAAAGACCTAAATGTAAGAACTGAAACTATGAAACTCCTAAAAGAAAACATGGGGGGGAAATTTCATGACATTGTATTTGGCAATTATTTCTTGGACACGATACCAACAGCACAGGCAAAAAAAAAAAAAAAAAAAGAGGCAAGTGGGACTACATCAAACTTAAAAACTTCTGTACAGCAAACAATCAGTGCAGTGAAAAGGCAACCAATGGAACCAATGGAATGGGAACATATATTTGCAAATCATAAATTTGATAAGGGGTTATTATCTAGAATATATCAACAACAGCTACAACTCAAAAAAAAAAACAACTCGATTTAAAAAGGGGCAAAAGTCTTGAACAGACAATTCCCTTAAGGAGATATACAAATGGTTAACAAGCATATGAAAAGATGTTCAGCATCACTAATTATCAGGAAAATGCAAAGCAAAACCATACCTGTTAGAATGGCCACTATCAAAAATACAGAAAATGATGTGTTGTGAGGATGTAAAGAAACTGGAAACCTGTGTACCATTGGTAGGAATGTAGATTTGTGCAGCTGCTACGGAAAAGAACATGGACGTTCCTCAAAAAGTAAAAAATTGAATTTCAATATAATTCAACAATCCTGCTTCTGGGTATATATGCAAAACTCTGAAAACAGATTTCAAAGAGATATCTGCACACCCTTGTTCACTGCAGCATTAGTCACAATAGCTAAGAGGTACAAGCAACCTAAATGTGTATCAATGGATGAACGGATAAAAAAAAATGTGGTGTATACATACAATGGAATATTATGCAGCCTTTAAAAAGGAGATCCTGTTATACACTACAAGGGTGAATCTTGAAGACATCCAGCCAATTCCACTTCTAGGTATTTACCAAAAAGAACTGAAAGCATGGACTCATATTTGTACACTACTGTTCATAGCAGTATTGTTAACAACGGGCCAAATAGTGGAAATAACCTAAATGTTCATCAACAGGTGAATGGATAAACAAAATGTGGTATATCCATACAATAGAATATTATTCAGCCTTAAAAAGGAATGAAATTTTGACACACGCTACAACATGAACCTTAAAAACACTATTGAAACAAGCATGACACAAAATGACAGATACTGAATGAACCCATTTATATGAGGTACTTAGAAGAGTCAAATTCGTGAGAGAAAGAAAGAACAGTGGTTACCATGGGCTTAGGGGAGGGGAGAGAGAGGAGTTATTGGTTAATGGATAGGCTTTCAGTTTGGGATGATGGAAAAAGTTCTGGAGAGGAATGTGGTGACAACCGCATAACAATGTGAATGTACTTAAATGCCCTCACATTGTAAACCCAAAAAGGGTTAAAATGGTCCATTTTATGTGTATTTCACCATATTAAAAAAGAATTCTAAAATAAGTAAGTAAAAGTAAATTTGTTGATGGGAGAAGCCCTGTCTTGTTGTGTGACTTGAAATTTCTTCAATAGCAACGCATTGAAACATTTTTAAAAGCACGGTCATTTTAAAGTAAATGTCCTGGAACAAGATTCTGAATAATCTTACAAATTTAATTCTTTCTGTATCTTTTCAGTGAAAAACAAACCAGGGTTTATATCTTTTCCAAAAAAATAAAAAATAAATAAATCATAGTAAATGATTCTCATAGGCCATATTCTTTCATGGCTAAAGGTCTCTGGTTGGTCTATTTAGCAGGAAGTTTACAGGTCAATTTATCACACAGCAATATTTGAATTACAGGCTTTGGGGCACTGAGGGCACAAGAAACCAAAAAATATCATCCAGAGGTAGCAATGCACATCTAAACCCACTCAAATCACAGCAACTATCGCTGAGTCTCAGATGAGCATTAAAGATCTCTTCCCTTCGATAAGCCAAACGTTTTCTGGTTTAGTTCTCATTTTAGAGGGACTGCCTTGAATTTTCACTTTAGGAACTTTGTATCACAGCTAAATCAGTGGAGCTCCTCCAGAGCCCTGACCTCAGCCCCAAACCTAACTGACTTAGGGCTTTTAGTTCCTTTTTCACAGTTAGAAACTATCATTCAGACTCCACCACTGAAACGAGGAAGGAATAGTCCATTAAGTATCTGTATACTCTATTCCTCTGAGGTCTAATCTCCCAACAGAAAGCTTAACTGAAAATTTACTCTGTGTCATTTCTACATTCTTTTTCTGAATTTTACTTAATATTAATAGAGTCTCTTCAGATTTCAGGATATGGATTCTCCAAATGGCAGGGGATCAGAATATCAAATGCCTACCATTGTTAGGTCAGGTTACATAACTGAGAGAACTTGGCAATAGAAGAGCAGATTCCCTATCTAAAGGTAGCAGCTGCCACCTAAAACCAGCTGACTGCCACCTAAAACCAGCTGACTGCCACACTGAAATATGGGCCCAGTGTTGTCAGCTCTTAAAGCTTTTTTTTTTTTTGGTATGAAATTTCCTATTTTTAACATGGTGGCAACTAATTACGCGCACACACACACACACACACACACACACACACACACACACACACACACACACACAAACCTTACCCTGCAGACCAATTAAAACATGTCAAAGGGCCCAATTTTAGTTTGTGACCCTCGCCGTACAGAATGTTTACACTTCAATTACAGGAAGCTATACTTAGCATAGACAAAAATAATTTTTAAATAGAACTCTATTTTGCAAAAGGCAATCCGTCCAGAATAGCTGTTTTCAGCACCCATTTCCTCCCACCACCCCAACCCGTAAGCTGTTTTCCTAGGACTGTAACTCTCATGTCTGAGGTGGCTCAGGTGCATGCCCTCTAGCTCTCCAGTCCCCTCAGCCGATGCCCGAAGGAAAAACAGTTTGGGGCGCTTTGTCCAATTAAAACATTCCCTGAAGGCAAACTTGTTTGAGCTTCACTAACTTGTTTCTGTCTATACCATTTCTGGCATCAAATATTCAAGTATTCAAGGCATCAAGTATTTAAAAAATATACTGCATTCTCACTAAGCCAAAAGTTCAGTATCCTAAACGAGTAATTTCCTACTAGATAAACTTGAAAATTCTAATGAATCAAAAATGTTTATCTTATTTCCACAGCTTCAGGAAACATCAGAGGTATTTAAAAAAAAAAAGTTAGAAATTATTAGTTCCACCCCTTCATTCTACCAGCTCAGAAAATGACATTCAGAAAAGTCAAACGATTTGCCTAAGGTTATATCGCGAGCTGGTCAGCAAACTCTTAACTCCATTCAAGTTCTCTATTACACTACACGGTAGTGGACGGGGAAGCTAGGGAAGCTAGAAGTGAGATCTCCCGAAGAAAAGCGTTTAAAAAGGTAGGTCCTGAACAACCCCCCACCCCCACCCCCCGCTTTTTAAATTCACATTTGGCCTTTTAGAATCATTTCACATCTCATACTACTTTGACTTTCCACATCGCTTTACCAGCCCTATCTACCAAAAGTTGACACCCTTGCAAAGAGGGGTGAGTGGGAAAAAGGAAACTTTTCTTAGCTGCCAACCCCATCCAAGTTGCAGCTACTGATCAATGCTGTGGTAATTTACACCCCAGGTTTCCAACAGACAAGTTTGACTAAATCTCCCCCTCCCCCACCTTACTACAGCCCAAGAATTACTCTCCAGAGTGAAATCCCCTATGCCTGATGAGGCCTGAATTACTTTTGAATGTCTTCTCACATTCATTACATTCATATTCTCTTCTTCCAGTATGAATTTTCAGGTGTTCTACAAGGATTGAGCTTCGACTAAAGGTTGCTCCACAATAGTTACATTCATAGGGTTTCTCTCCAGTGTGAATTCGATGATGTTCATTAAGAGATGAGCTCTGACTGAAGGATTTTCCACATTCTTTACATTTGTAAGGTTTCACACCAGTATGAATCCTCTGATGACGACTAAGGAGTGAATGGGTAGGGAAAGCTTTCTCACACTGATTACATTTGTAGGGTTTTTCTCCTGAATGAAGTCTCTGATGGTAAATTACAGATGTAAAATGGCTAAAAGTCATCCCACAATCATTACATAAGTACGGTTTCTCTCCAGTGTGAATTCTCTGATGTCGGGTGAGGCAAGAATTCTGTCTAAAGGCTTTTCCACATTCACCACATTTATAGGGTTTCTCTCCAGTATGAATTCTCTGATGCTTGGAAAGCGATGAGCTATGACTAAAGGATTTCCCACAATTGTTACATGTGTAGGGCTTTTCTCCAGTATGAATTCGCTGATGTTGAATAAGAGATGAACTGTCACTAAAGGGTCTCCCACATTCTTTACATTTATAGGGTTTTTCTCCAGTGTGAACTCGCTGATGTTTAATGAGGTGGGCAGTTAGGGTGAAAGCTTTTCCACAATCATCGCACTTGAAGGGTTTCTCTCCACTATGAGTTCTGTGATGTGGTGTGAGGGATGAACTGTCACTGAACGCTTTTCCACATTCATTGCACATGTAGGGTTTCTCTCCAGTATGAATTCTCCGGTGTTTGGTTAGTGAGGCACTATAGCCAAAGGCTTTTCCACATTTGCTACATTTATGCGTTTTTTCTCCAGTCTCCATTCCCTCATCTTTATTCAAGGTTGCATCCTGACATTCATCTTTCCGACATTTCTCACATATCGAGTTTTTTCTCTTAGCAAGGGATGAGCTTTGAGTAAAGGTTACCCCACAGTTACTACACTTCTGGGACTTATCCCCCAAATGAATTTTCTGATGTTTCTGATGTTCAGTGAGAGATGAAGAGTGACTTAAGCCTTTCCTGCCTTCATTACCTTTCCGTGGCTTTTCTCCAGTGTGTTCTTTGCGGTTCAGAATAAGGTCTGAATGAAAACTAAAGGGTTTCTTGCATTCATTATACCTCCGAGATTTCTTCCTCAAGTAGACTCTCAGATGTTTAATTATATCTGAAGTTTCTTTGAAATTACTTCCAAAAGGGCCCTTTGTGGAGTCAAATCCCTCTCCTTTATTGCCTCTCCCATGGGTTTTCTTTTGTGTGCCTGCTATTTGTGAATATTCCTTATCACTACGATCTTCTAATCTGCCATAACGTTTCCGGGAGTCTCCCATCAAGTCATAATCACCACCCGTTAGGTATCTTTCTATTATTTTATCTAAAGTCGATTCTTCCATAAGAACATCTTGATTTCCAACAGATTCCTTCAATTCATCTCTAGGATCACACTCTAAAAGAAATAACACAGAATATTTCCTGTTTGCAATAAAGGAAGCTGCTGAATTGAAACAGGAATACAGACAGTAATGGCTATAAGGAATATGGCTCGGACAGTTCTCAAATAGAGGCTGATAAAACAGGAATGGGAATAGGGATATAGGGAACATAGATAAACATAGGGCTTAGGAAAACTACTGAGTAAATGAAGTTTATGCTTTATAGTTTGAAAAGCAAGTTCTCGCCCTCATTTCAAATTTCTGTAACAGGTTCAAACTTCTTCTTCCTACATCCAGTCTATTCTTTTTTCAAACAATAATGATAGCACAATGATCATAGTGCAGTATTTATTGAATACTTAACCAAGGCCAGGTCCCATATCAAGCACTTCACTTGTATTTCACTTGCTCTTCACAACAACCCTATTTATTATCCCCGTTTCATGGATGTGACAACGAGGCACCTGGACTGTAAGTAGCTTGCCCAGGGTCTCATGTATTTTAAGGGGCAGTGCCAGATTTTTATACTAGTCTGACACCAAAGCCCAGGTTTCTGACCCCATACCATACTGCCTCTCCTCAAAGTAGTCAAATAGCACTAAGTTTATAGATATTGATCACTTCATGGATCTACACCACCACCTGTGTCAGACTTGCAAAGGTTACCACAGTCTGGCCTATTAGCCTCATGGATACTCTAATCAGGCATCCATTTATTGTCCCTAGCATGCTACGGCACTTTCAATCCGATTCTTTTAGTTTTAGCACTTTATACTACCTAGAAAGCAATCCCACAGCACTTCACTATCACAAACGTATCAATTTGACAGGGCCTGGGGTTCACGTCTCGCATTCTCCACAGAGCTTTCTCCAGTGCTATACTGTTGAAGCCCTTCTCGGGACTTTGAATTCATTTATTAGCTACATCCTTCAGCCTCGCTCTTAATCATGAGATTAGACTGTCACTTTTATAAAACTATTTTTTAAACAGGTTTAACTATAAGATACAAAATCCTATCACCCAGAAGTTAACTATTGTTAAAAATTCTGTGTTTTCTCCTATAAATTGCTGTTTATTTTAGAATCGAAAGCTATGCATAATATATAGTTTTAGCTTTTTCATTCATAATTCTCTCCCATCTCATTGGCAATTCTTCATAAAGACACTTTTAATTAGTTACATAATAATCCATTATATACTATATAGATATTAATATATTAATATAGCATATACTAGTTTATTTAGTTATTCCCTTATTGAATTTCTATCCAATGATTAATATTGGGTTGTTGGAAAAGTCATGATGCATTTTTGCAACGAAAAACATAGAAAAAATACGTCATGACTTTTCCGACAACCCAGTATTTCCTCAGAAGAGTCATAAAAGTAGAATTACTGAACCAAGGGATAGAAAATTTATCCCATCACATGACGCATGATGACAAGTACCTGACTACTCATCTCTAGTCAAATGATCTTTCTTTAAATAGTATTGTTGCTTTAAACATACATTTCTTTGACCCATGATTTGCAACGTTTTTTTCACATTCACAGCTGTTTAAATTTGTCAGTTATTTTTGTCAGCTATCTGCTCAAGTTCTTCATCCATTTTTCTGACAGATGCAGTGTTCCTTACTGATTTGCATGAGCTTTTTATAAATTATGGCTATTGACTCTACTTTTGTCTGTCAAAAACTTTTTCCCCAGTCTGTTATAAATGACTTTCTAAACAAGCTACACATCTCAATGATGCTTCTTTTACGTAAGCATCTTAGGTGGGAGAGACATGTATATACCAATGCTGCTAAATTTTACTCAAAACGTTTTTAGAATGCATCTTTGAAATTATTCTCCCAAATGCTACTTATAAACATAAGACAATTGCTGTCCTTTATTTGTGTAACTATACTGCCAAAGCCAATAGACTGACTAAAATAAACGGTTAAGAAGATGGAATAGAGCCAAGTGAATTCTTTTAAACAAAAAGCTAAGGTTCTGATATATAGTTGTTTTTAATGTAAATGTTATTTATTGTTAAATTTTAATATAAGGGAAGGATAAAGAAAATAATATAACCCCTCAAAGATAACCAGTGTTAACATGATTGTTCTCTAGGTATTAAAAGTCCATATGCATCTATATTTTCAGACATACATATGTTATGTGTACATTTTTTTTCCTTTTAACAACAATGGGATTATATTATATATGCTGTCCTTTGGTTGCATTCCTACTTATCCTTCAAGACTCGACTGAAATGCTAGTTAAGCCCTTGCCTCTACATTTTCCCACTGCATCCACAGCATACATGCCATTACTAACACTTTTTGTTTTGGTATCTGTATCTATGGCATCCATGAAACTGCACCTCTCAGATCTCCTCGTCTAGGGCGTTTACCTGAAAGCGCCTGCTGCTGCTTTATGAATCTGCCATAGCATTCACAGCGAGGCCACTTCCCCACAGCTGGTCCCAGTCAGTAACAAACACAGCAGGGATAGTTAGGCAGACGCATGTCTGTGAGACATAGGACTCTGAGAGGCACCTCTGGCTCGAGGGCTTGTTTTTGGCCTTGCCAACACTTTCTTAAGTTGCGCATCGGTCTAAGGCTCTTCCTGCCCAATCCTGCTTCCTCCCCGCTCTCGCTCTCACTCGCAGGTTTCAGACCCGCAGCATGCTCTGACAAACCTCCGGGCCTCTTCCTGCTCCCTCCCCGTTTTCCTTCACTGGCTTTCTCTCCAGTAAGTCTCTGGCATGGCTAATTGCGTCTTGCAATCTACTTCTCAGAGAACCCAAACGAACAGTTTCCCCTGTTAAAAAGGACATTCCAAGAAGGCAAGGGGTATATTCTAATCATCCTTCTATTTTAATGATAGCATCTAGACCACCCAACATTTCAAAAGCTCTTCCCAAATGACTTGGTCAGCAACTGTTTTCATTTCCTCATCTACTTTTCACCAACTCACCTGGTCTGGAGCCTCTTGAGACTTCTTTTTCCAGCAGCCATGGCAGTTCAACCCACTTTAGCTGGGAAATCAGATCTAATTTGGAAACTGGAAAGCCTGCGCATAGAGAAAATAATAATAAAAATGGCTGTTTTTGCATAGAACAAAGACATTCCAACATTCACATATAGCCTCTGATTCTCCAGGGAAAAGAAGATGCTGTCAAATACAGACATCGATACTGAAATGTGAGGAGAAAATGGGGGAAGGTATGGCCTTGATGACAGCACAATGATGCTAAACATTTCCATTCAGGGAAGCAGACTCTTTTTCTGGAGAAAACACTACAGAAAAGTACATTTTTGGGATCCATATTTTGGATTAGTCACATTACCTCTCTGCATGCCCAGCCAAAAAAGTTCATAGCATTTATCTGTCAATAGTGGACAGAGTGGACAAAAAGATACCAAGCGTAGATGCTAGACCATGAAGAGATGTCCTTACCCACAAATTCCAGGTTCCTAAAGTTCTCCAGCAGCACTTCCTTATACAGCTCCTTTTGAAAAGGTTCCAGCTTCTTCCACTCTCCTCTCGAAAAGCTCACAGCCACATCCTTGAATGCCACAGGTTCCTAGAACACCAAACAGTCTTTTTGCACTGCATTATTCCCAAATAGCTCCTTAGGGTTCAGAGACACAGTTAGGCTATACAGTATTAGTTTTGATATTATTTAAGTTTTTAAGGATTCAAAAGCAAGTTACAAGGTAGCCGTTGCATGACTATTACAAGTGACCCAGAACAAGATAACACATTCCTGCTCTCCACTGAGTCCCTGGTGGGAAATGCTTTACGAGGATTCTCTGGAATATCTAACATTGAGCAAGTTCAACCCACTGCACTGATTTCTTGGATTCACAGAAAAATGTTAAATGAAGGATACAAATTACATTCCTAAACCCCAATTCACAGAATTCATGTAAGCTAACGACAGGCAATAATTAAATATATGAGTAACGTCAGTGACCACATTCCAAATTTTAATTTCCATTGACACACGCAATCTATATTCAGTAACATACTCACAATTACTCCAAAATTACAAACAAGCACAGTGACTCATTAAAACACACTTTCTATAGCATCCTCTGCATTGCATTTTGAGAGGCAGCGTAACAGAGTGGCTAGAAGCACTTGTATTAGCTTCCTGTGGGTGCTAAAACAAATCACCAAAACTTTGGAGGCTTAAAAAATGTCTCTTCTCTCACAATTCTGGAGGCCAGAAGTCTGAAATTAAAGTGTTGGCAGAGCTGCACTCCCTCCAGAGGCTGAGGGAGAACCTGTTTCTTGCCTCTTCCAGCTTCTGGTGGCTGCAGCCTTATCGCTCCCACCTTCACATGGCTTTTTCCTGCTTGTGTGTTCAATCTCTCTGTCTCTCTCTTACAAGGACACTTGTGATGGCATTTAAGGCCCACCGCTATCATCCAGGATAATTTCCTCTTTTCAAAACCATTAACTTAATCACCCTTGCAAAGACCTTTCTTCCAAATGAAGTGGCATTCACAAGGTTCTAGGGATTAGGAAGTCAACATATTCTGGGAAGCCATTATCAGCCTACTATAGCACTATGACTATTTTGACACAAAATTTTTTTCCTAACTGGTTAATTACTCTATATAGGAAACGCAATGATTTGTAACCAGCTACTTTTCTCAACTATTACATGAGCTTCAGTACTTGTTCAGTTGATTCTCTGAGGTGTTCCAAGTCGGTATTATTATCTTTCATACCAATACTTACCTCATTTCTTTCTTATCTTACTGCATTGGCTAGAATGTTCAGAAAATCCTCATTAATAATAAGGTTAAACATCCTTATCTTTTTACTGGCATTGGGAGGACTGCTTTTTCTTTCCAACACCATCCAGCTGGGGAGGTTTTTTATCATGTTAGGAAATATTATTCTATTTTCACCTGATTTTATCAGGAATAATTGTCGAATTTTAGTAATTTTTTTTTTGTTTTTTATTAGTCAGGTTGGCTTGTGACAAATTCTCCTAACTAGTAAAACAGCAAGTGAAAAATGACCCTAAAGAATGTAAAGAATGTGAAGAAAAGGAGATTGTCTTAATTATTCTATCTAGCATTCTACCGCTCAGTAGGAGCTCAGCAAGTAGTCACTTCCAAATGAATGAAAACTAGTGAAAGGACACTTACCCGGGATTCAGTATCTGGAAGGGCAGAAACTTCCATTTCATCTTCTTCAGGGCTCTCTTCTTGGGAAATAACAGACTCTTGAGAGACTGGATCTAAGAAACGGGGGAAAAAACAGCCCAGTGTTTCAAATGGATTCCTCAGACTAGAAATTCTTATATAGGTCTCTGGAGAAAAAGGTCATAAGAAACAGAAAACAGTTTCCTCCACTTTTTAAAACAGAAAGAACAGCCACATGCAGTTTCTTATGAAAGCCCAAGCTTTGTCCCCTACCCTGTAAAATATCAATTCCAAAGCTCACAAAAAACTGATTTTGTTCATTCCATATACAACTTAATGTATTTAATTTGCATTATTTTAAAATATTTATAAGATGTATTAAGGTAAAACAGCATATTTATTTTACGTGTTGTTTTCTTCATAATCCTACCACAATGTCTTGCACAAGAGTCACTTATTAAATGGGCTGACTTGACCTCTGGAGTCACCAAGATTCTGAAAGACAGAAATCAGGAATCTGAACCTATGAACTAAATGTAGTCAATAGCCTGAAATGTTAACAGCTCCTTTTCTGATAAAGGAAAAGTACTTTTTTAAATTATGCTTTCTTATGAAAAGAGGGATTATTTTAAGGCAAACTGTTCTATCTTACAGAATGCGAGAGTAATCAATTCATGAACGTCTTTATTGCAGGGGCCTCCACACAGAGGCCCCGATTTTGTAGAAGCACCATGTTACAGTGACAGACAAGTCAGAAGGGAGTCAGGAAGTCCAGATTTTAGATACACCAATGAACTACATGACCACAAATTAAGTCTTTGGTGGGAGAGACTATTTCCCCACTTATCTGAGAACTCCTAGTAGAATACAAGCTGTCACACATATGTACTGAGAACCTTATGTAAATAATAGACAAAAATATGTGAAATACTTGTAGCGTGTTGAACCACATGCTCTCCAAGGGCTAGCCACCCCAGAAATGTTTTCATCAGTATTTTACAATGATATAATCATGTTATAATTCAGTTTATATTTTAGACATTTGTATATAATGTAATTATAAAAATGTAAGTCAGGCGTTCTTCTGGAAGGTTGTGGAACTGCACTATCCAACACGGTAGTTGCTGGCCACATATGGCTATTTAATTTCATTAAAAAATCAGTTCCTTATTTGCTCTAGCCACATTTCATATGTTTAACTTGCAGTGCCAAACAGTGCAGAACACGTTTCCATGATCAGATATTGGAAATGTGCTACTGTACACACTAAAGCCAGAAGTGAGGTTTGGGCTGGAAGATATGCTTGTGACTCCAAACATGTTCAGAAAATGTCTCTCTTTCCTGTGTTCTAAGGTCCCCTCTTGCTCAAAGGTAAAGGGAAAGAAATTAATATTTATTGAGCATCCACTATGCATCATACTTTGTCTTATTTAATCCTCACAATAAAACTATAGGGTAGATTGGATCCCTGTTTTAAAGATAAAAAAAGTTAAAGTTCTGAGAGGTTGGGTAGCGTGCCCAAGATCACACATAAAGGGCAGGGCCGATGCAAAATCCAGTCCCACCTCCAAACTTAGTCTCCTCTTTAGCAATAAACTGCTTTCTTCTGAGTTTACTCTCATACCCTGAGGAGATCTCTCCCACTTCCTCCCTCCATCTATAAATCTCACCTTCCTGGTTTTCAAGCAGTTGGGTCAAATCCTCTATTAAGGTCACCACTTCCTCACTATTCTCTGGATGTTGTAACTTTACCCAAGTCCTGATCTCCCCAGGCAAAATGGTCAGGAATTGCTCAAACACCAAAAGCTCTAAAATCTGTTCTTTCGTGTGGATGTCTGGTCTCAGCCACTGAATGCAGAGCTCCCAGAGTTGATTCAGGGCTTTTCTGGGTCCAGCCTCTTCTGAGTAACAAAACCACCTGAACCTCTGTCTGAAATACTCTGGGTCAGTGGAGCTTCCTCTTAGGATCGTTTCTTGATTCCCAGGAGTGTCCATTCTTAGGACCTTGTTCTGTTCACTTGAGGCCAGAGTTTGAGGCTCTGGGGAGAGGGCCGTCATCATGTTCAAGGGTACGACAGCTTGCAATGTGTATCACCAGCAAGAATTCAGTCCCCTCTAGACTCTAGTTGAATATCTCTATGGTCCACCAACAGGTACTATACACAGCAAAATATCAAGAGTTCCAAGGATTCAGTCTATGGTCTTGCAGAAACTGTCAAGAAATATAAGATATTACATAAGTGAAACAAATGGTTAATCCCAAAAACACTGTTCTTGGTTTGGTTCAGAGATATATATATATATATATATATATATATAATATACACATACTCTCAGAGGCCTACAGCAACCCTGCCCAACTACCATATTAAAAGAATAATTTTAGGGCCAGCCAAGTGGCTCAGTTGTGTAAGAGTTGGCGTAAGAGCGTAAACTCTGAGCAACAGGGCTGCTGGTTCGATTCCTACATGGGCCAGTGACACTGTGCCTGAGCTGAGTTGTTGCTGAGCTGCCAACAGGTGGCAGGATGGCTCAGCTGGTGTAACAACAAGACTGCCTGTTCGACGGTGGGCTATGCCCACCCGCAACTAAGACTGAACTCGGCACCTTGAGCTGAGCTGCCACCCGGATGGTTCAGTGGATAGTGTGTGCGCCCTTAACAAGGCTGCTGGTTCAACTCCCACATGAATGGGATGGTAGCTATCCCCACCCGCAACTAGGATTGAACACAGCACCTTGAACTTAGAGACCACGAGCTGCCCACAGGACTGGTGCCCTCCACAACAAAGATTGAAGAACAACAACTTGGCTAGTCCCGTTTCCCCAATTCCCCAACACTGTTCCCCTCCCCCAATTCCCCAATAAAATCTTTTAAAAAAAAAAGAATAATTTTATTTGAAGGTGAAAAGTTGAGGAGTTACTTAAGGGTAATTAAACGTACCCTCCAAGAAAACAGCTTCTTCAGACTAAACACTCTCAGAAGCAAAACTGATCAGAAAGGCTCAGTTATAAGAGGATCCAGTCATAAACCTAGTCAACATCTCCTGCTGTCTCTCGGTGAATGGCCATGCATCTCCCACCAGTTGCTCAACTCAGAAGTCTGGTTCCATATTTGCCTTTAAAATTTCTCATATAATCAATAACCAAGGCAGTTTTATTTCCTAAGAACCTCTCCGTTCTATCCTACTGAAACTACCCAAGGACAGGCTTTTCTAATCCAATCTCATGCTGTAGCCTAAGAATTCCTCCTAATACATATCCCTTCCACTGTCTCAAGACAAAATTCAAACGCAGGGGCTATGCGTGAAGATCTAGAGACTCTGCTCTGATGACCTCATCTCTTGAGCTCTAGCTGCCCCTGATGGACACTGCAGCCATATAGAAATATCTCCCCATTCCCAGACACTCTCTTATCCCCTTCCATCTTTGCAGTGGAGTCTTCCCTCTCCTTGGAATACTAGCTTCTGTCCCTCTCCCACCAAATATGTATTCATTAAAACTTGATTCCTTTTAACTGACACCTCTTGTGTGAAGCTTTCTCTGATCCCCAAGTGCTCTTTTGCAGAGAGTAAGTCCTGTGTTGCACGCATTCTTTCTACAAATAACTGAACATCTACAATGAGCTGGGAACGAGGCACTACGCAGGTAGGCGTGGACAGGTCAGACAGGGTCCCCACCCTCACAAAGCACCCAGAAAATAATACAGCCTGCGATGTGCTACATACGGCAAGGAACAGGACACTCTCCTCCAACTGCAACTAGGGTAACAATAATTACCCACCCCCGAGCACAGAACCTGGCCCACCATATGCAAGACGTCATTTATTCCTCTGCCAAACACGTGGCACCTACTGGGTACCTTGCGCCGCCGTGCTGGGCACCTGGGACTCTGCGGTGAGTAACAGACTCATCTTGGTCTCCAGGGAGCTTACAATAGCGGCACCGCGAAAATGTGACGCAGGCAAAAATTAGTTCTCAAACAGGGGGGCAGGGGGGGGTTTGCCTCACAGGAGACATTGGCCATGTCTTAAGACATTTTGGTTATCCCAGCTGGGAAGAAGTGGTGCGACTGGTACTTAGTGGGCAGAGCCAGGAAAGCTGCTAAACGCCCTGCAATACACGGGACAGCCTCTTCCCCACCCCACGCACACAAACCAAGGAATTTTCCCGCGCAAAACGTAAAAGTACCGAAGTTGCGAGACCCCAGGCGCGGGGAAGAGATGGAGGAAAGCTCCGTCATTCAGGACGGTGCCCACCTCCCACGGGAGCTGCAGCATTGGGAGTGCACGGCGAGGTCGGTCGGATGCCCTCGGCCCCCACCCTGCCCCAAGTGCACCCTCGGGGCCGGCGACCTGGCCGCGGCACCCAAACTAGGGACCCGGGTCAACTACTACCTGCAACAGAACCCGCAGCCAGGACCAACGCTACCGCAATGAGCTTCTAGAAGCTAGTCCTGCAGGGAGCTGCGCGCGCAAGCCAACTGGAGACCACTGCGCCTGCGTAGGGGCGCAGAACTACGATTCCCGGAATGCGCTTGTCTCGCTTTGCCAAAGTCCTGTGCTTTCCATAGGCTCCCACCCTCGCCTGTTGCGCACGATCTTTAGGAAACGGCTGGTGGGCTCGGCCACAGAATTATTGCTGCGCCAGAGGCCTAAAAGCCTAGAACCTTCTCAGGTTTGCACATCTCTGATGTTCTGTTTCCTTGGTAACCTTAACCATCCCTCCCTCTTCCCATCCCTACCCTTCCCTGAAATCGAGGCTGGAAAAACCCACCGCAGAAGCATATGAGTGATGCATAGGATACAAGCCGTAATTGATGCCGCAACTTGAATTAAACAAATATTAATCTTATGACTTTCACACCTGCCACCATAGTCCAAACCACCATCATGCTTCGCCTGAATTATTGCAATAGCTTCTTGATTTCACTTTTTTTCACACTGCAGCCAGAGCAATGCTTTACAAAACATAAAACAAAATATGCCCCCACCCTCCACCTGCTTTCAACCCTGCAAAGGCTCCCCATTCCACTCAGAGTGGAAACCTAATTTTTACAGCGACTACAAGGCCGGATGGAATGTAGCCACCCATAACCTCCTTGACCTCTTCCCCCATTTTCCTGCTCCAGTCACAATGGCCTCCGCTCTCACTCTCCCTATCCCTCCAAGCTGCCTGACACTTCTGGCTGACATGCTCCTCCCAGAGGTAGCAGTGTCCTTGTATCTTCTCAGCGAAGCCCTCCCACCCCAATGCTTATGTTGGAACTCACCCCCCTCCCCACTCCTGTTTCCCCTTCTAAAGTATCATCTAATTTTCTTATTTGTTTAGTACTTATTGTCTGCATTTTTTCACTAGAATACCAGTTCCACAAGGATAAGGGTTTTTATCTGCTTTGTTTCAGAGATACAATCCCCAAGCCCTGGAACAGAACAGTACCTGGCGCATAGTAAGTGCCAAATAGATATTTGTTGAACTTGCATGGATTATTAGGAGTATAGCAAAAAGGGCTGAGGAACTCCAGAAGGATTGTTTGGAGGGTCCTAATAACTAGAAAACTTTTGGAGGGATGGAGTTGGGAAAGAAAGATATTCTAGACTGAAGGAGCAGGGTGGGTCAAGGCACTGAGCTTATAAAAGAACTGAGCAAGCTCAACTAAATGAACCCCTGGGTTCATCTCACAGGCAGCAAGGCAAGCTGAGGAAACAAGGCTGCCTGCAGTCAAAAAGAAGCTATCCTAGTCCCAGGTCTGAATGCATATTCTCTAGCCACCTCTGCTTGGCTGGCTAAAAATGGAGGGGACATCAAGGAGAAGCTGGAGAAAGTAGAAGAACATGAAATGAAATTGGCTCTTTAGTTTAACTGAACAGGTCAGAGAAAGTTTAATTAATGGTTCTCAAAGTTTATTATACCTTAGAGTCACATGGTATTCTTCATCTGAATACAAATCTAGGGAGACCCTCCTCCCCCCACAATCTCTTACAGGTGACCCTTGGACGCTTTGAGGAACACTGTCCTACTTGAAATATTCTGTAATTAAATGACATACTACATAGAAATAAATTACCAGGAAAGAATGACCCCTTTTTGGAACTGGTGGCCAAACTGTAACTTTTGATTAAAAGCATCATCTGGTAAAGAGTGGTAGGTTGTGCATCAGTAAACAAAAACTACAAATCAATTAGTTTCACTTGTAAGCAAGCTGGTGGGATCGCTAACCAGGATAAGCAGACTTAGGAATTCTTTAAGTAAATAAACGGGCTTTTTGCTTGTTTGTTTTTAGCTGTTTTGGCTTCAGTATGGAGAACAGATTGGAAAGAGGTAAGGTTGCAGACAAAGATGATGCACTATGTGGCAAATTATATTTTGTAAATATATATACATATATATATGTATATATATATATATTGCTGTGTATATAGCTGTATATATATCTCCCATCTGGATGTATGTTCTTACAATGTGATGTTGATGCCCTTCCATTGAGAGGCAGTATCAATATTTCCTTGCCCTTGAACCTGGGCTGAGCTTTGCAGAAGTGATGCAAAGTGACTTCTAAGACTAGGTACATCAGTATAACTCGCACCCAGCATCCCAGAAGAGCCGCTTCCCTTTGTACTCCCTTTCAGTCACCTTCCCAAAGGTATCGCTATTCTGACTTGCAACAGAGTAGAACAGTTTTATTTGTTTTTATACTCTAGAATCCAGAGTCCAGATAAGTAGAATCATATGATATCTATTCTTTGTACATGGCTTCTTTCATTCACATTATGTCTGTGAGATTTATCAGTATTTTTGCACGTGGTTATAAATCAATGAAAATCATTTATTTTCATTGCTACATAGTATTCCCCTATGACCCGTTATTTATGTTAAAATTTCCTGTTTTCACAGCACCTTGCCCAGCCTCTGTTTCCCTACATAGAGGTAGGGAGGAAGTATGTGTTTGTGAAGGGGTGAGTCTGGTTTTCCTGCCTTCCTTCTAGAATCACCTACTTTAAAGAAACTGAAGAACCAAGGTCCTTCTTGCTCCTCCCTACCCACGTTAAACAGAAAATGACACCCAGGGCAGGGAAGGGGCTTGCCTGAAGTTCACTCAGCTGGCAAATTGGCAGCTGACTGGCTCTGAGCAGAAGCCTTTTAGCGGGAGGAAGCACAGCTACACCTATAGCTGGAGGGAGCGGGGCAGCCTATGAGTTCGGGATGGGACTTTTATTTTATTTTATTTTATTTTATTTTTT